ACGGACAAAATATTGGCATTTTCAGCAAATATCAGCATTTATATGGCCACATCGCGCGAATCTATAATCGTAGAACGGAGTCTAACAATGAGCAAAGATGGCGAAAATGGACACAATATAAATAGAAAGGCCTGTTCTCACGTTTCTGTGTTGGATTATTTCTCAGCTTTACCATGCGAAAGTAATGTACACTGACATCGGCCAACGGAATGCACTATTAAAGCACTCCATAAAAAAGGGACCTGTGAGAGAACGTTTTCAAGTCGATTGAATGCATATTCGCTGTTGACTTTGTTGTGGACCTCCGCTTAATTCGAAGAATAGGTTACATGTCTGGTTATGACTTTAAATGTGACACAAATGACCTTCTACAGGAAAAAGATAGCTTAAATACCTACGACTTTAGTAAATGCCTGCAAGAAACATTGTTGAAGGCTTTAAAAAGCACATAATACAGAATCCGTGCTTATGGGCAATCGATTGAAAGCACTGAAATAAAGGAAAAGTACAAATTAACTTTATGGCAGAAAATGTTTCGTTATATGCACAAAATGGTATGTTTGCATATACACCTGTCACTTCTACTTCTACTTTACTACACTGATTCGCCTGGCGACATATGCTCTTATGAAAACGCCTGTTCCTATGGCGTCTTTATCGGCGAAATCAAGCAAAATCCTGTTTGCCTTATTGGATCGCATCTCAACCAATTCAGTAGCGTTAAGAATACCATGAATCCCTGAAAAAACGATTTTGGAATATATACTCATAATTTAGGCTGTTGGCAAACCGCCATACTTAAAATTGCACTAACTTTTAAAGGATATTTAGATGTAAACTTCACTAAAACACTATATTTAAACGTCATTCTATTTGTGCTGCACCCTTCGTGTTTTGCATGGACAGACTCTCTGTAAACCTAAAACTTAACTTTAGTAAACTTTCTGTCTTTCCAAAGAAATTGGCATTTTCATACAACGTCACATTGCCTTTTATAGTCCTTCTATGCTTTTTACTTTCCTAAAGGTTGTTCTTCACTAACGTCGATATTGGGTTCATGAATTTGTGCCGGTTTGTGAGTGATTAGCAATCAGCACCTTTCCTGAGTTAGTTCGCATCTGAGGCGCTCATTAGCACAACTCTATTAGCCCTTTCGCTTATTGACGCGATAATCCCTCGGTAATTCGGCTCACTGATACTGTCACCAGAAGTAGTACTCACACGAGCGTTTCCCAGACGACAAATTACCCTGCACGGACAAAGCAGCAGCGCTGAATATTGAGAGAGGGGAGAGGAGACAATTTTACTTATTGATGAATGTCGAGTTGCATGATCATGACTCAAGCTAATCACAACTAAACAGGACAGACTGGACGCATGCTCTGATCGCGCATACACGAACATAAGCTGGCTGTGCGACGAGGCGACACATTATCACAAGTGGCCGCCAACACCTACGAAATGGGTCACGAGTGCAACTTCGCAGCCACCGAAATAGTCGCCCACGCTGGAAACAAAGTAGGCCGAGAATTGATTGAAGCCTGAGTCTCGGATGAGAACTCAGCCAATAGATTTATCGATCTGGCGCCGGCGTACAGAGCCCTGCGTAGTCACCTCCAGTCTTGCGCCGTCGGTTTATGATTTTGCCTACACGCCTAATAACTGCCGCTAGTTCTGTTTCTGCCACTACCTCTGACGATGGACTCCAGTACGAGTCTGAAAGCTCAGGACAATAGACAAAGTGTTCCGGTGCTCGAATCTTCTTTGCCACTTGCGCATCTGTCACATCTCATGAGATCGTTAGCGTAATCAAAGCCGAGCGTGTAAGCGGGTCCTAAGGGAGGTGGGGGGAACCGCGACTTGAGGACTGACGTCCTTCCTCCCCACTTTCGTTGCATATTCGACCATGGGTATGTGCTGACCCCCTAACCCCTGTTCCTCCATCTTTCCTATCCCCTGCTCATTCACCCTGCCCACTGCCTTTCCCTTCCCCTCCCTGGCCCTCTACTCCTCCGTCCCGCACACTTCCTCTTCCTACATGCCCACAGCATCCAGCTGCAACATCATCCTCCACCATAGCACGCAGTCAACCCTCTTCGACTGTACCTCCTGCTTTCATCACTCGCAGTGGCCGTCAAGTCCATTTCCCCGATCGTTTAGTTACGCATTTTTTTTCTAGACTTATGCATATCCTCCGGCTCCGTATTATGTCGCCCTCCGGTCTAGTAGGGGGTACTGCGGTGAGGTACCGAACTAATTTACCTTTGACAATTTAATCCCATTTTCTTTGACCGGATTGCTTGTTTGAATGTGACGAAAAACGACACACCTCTACAACACGCCTTGCTGGCCTACGTTGCTGTCCCACTCTGTTGTCAGGTTACTTGACGTTCAAAATCTCTATATTATTCACTGCTCAGTTTTACTTGCTGCCTTGAGGGCTAGGGGCTCATGAGATATAACTCGTTCGTTTGTGAGAACATTATCATCCTCGTCAGGTATCCAAAGTGTTCTCTCAGCTTTCTCGCACCACCAGACTGCACGAACCCCGCTTCCAATTTGAAGAGTTTGACAAAAGACCGTCAGTCTAGGCGGTTATTGCGTCGTAGCAAAGATGAAACGACATGGTCATTCGAAGATGATGGGGAGGGGGGGAGTAGTGTAGGTGTGGCCAGACGAATTAAATAACCCGGTCACCCGATCCTCGAAACCTTAGCACAGCAGAGTATAAGGAGGAAGTTATTGGGATGTTTCTTCTGGCGAACAACATACTGTGGTGCATACTACATGGTCATGAGGCTCTCTTGCATTAAGGACACTCTCTTCAAACTGTTAAAACGTTAGTTGGGCTCCTTTTGCTTCCTTGACCCATCTAATCACCAGAAGTTAATCTCCTAAAGTTTTCAACTTCGTCTACTTCCCATATGACCAGTTCTCAACGTGAAAACGGCTGTTACAGGGGACGATTAAAAAACCGATAAATAATAAAGCTCTTTTAACACTACTTGTCAAGGGCCATCGAGGAAATAATGTCGAGGCGGGATCGGGTTCCGATAAACTAGATGAGCACGACGGCCTTCCGCTCATCAAACCACGGGATATGCCATGAAAGGCACTACCAGGTACTGAAGAAGGTGCGCGGAACCGATATGCCAAAAATTAGTTCTCAGCTTTCAGAAAATCCCCCCACCCCTGGTCAACTTTTTCCTATCGAAACACAAACTGGAGCCGTTACTACTCTAGCTTTTTAGCGAGTCGCTGGCATGAGAAGTGGTTATGTAGCTGCAATTCCCATTGCCTCGAGTCTAAATGTGGAGGAGGGTGTGCTTTCTGTGACTAGCAGCATGCTTATCAGTGAGGCCCGGATTATTGCTGTCTTCCCCCCCGCCCCTCGACAAGCCGGACAGCAGGACTGATCGATAAGAGTGGGCGTGTGCTTACGGCGTGGAAGCACGACTCTAATCAGCGCAGATGATTTTCGATAAAGCAGCCACTCAGAGGCCCGTCCTCTCCATCACCCCTCCCCCCCCGTCAAGGCACCCAGGAACGGAGATGGGGCAATTATGAGGGAGAGAGCAAGCGAGCGAAAGCACTTTTATTTTGACGTGAACAAATGGCTCAGCAGTAGAGTACTCCAAACACCATGGTAATATTAGCGACAAAGGATCAAAGCAAAGCTGCAGTGGATGGCCAGTTTTTGCTGACCAGTAAAGGCAACCCTTCAGCCGTGTTGGCGAAGTCGACGACAAAAAGCAGCTGGTTGCTCCATAAAACCAGAAGTGAGTGCTTTCGCGCAATCATCCCAAACCCAGCAAAGTGCCCGTATCATTATATATGCGTATGTCCTCAGCATTAGAGGATAAGCCTATTGCGCAGTTAACGCAGTCCTACAGCATGCCAGCGCAATCACTGGATACAAAAGAGCAAAAAAGCGAATTCTTTTATGAGGTGAAAACGCGCATAGTTGTGCGTGCCAAAATAAGTAAAGTCGTGTGCAGATGGAAAGTAGTCTTTAAACTGCAGAAGTTGTGTTAACAACCCGTCCCTAAGAATGCTTGCCTACAACAGCAAGAAATTCAGCTAAACACAGTAGGTGGGCTAACTCATGAAATGTCAACCGAACTACCCAGATGCGTTTTCGTGCCGAAAAGACTAATTAAGTAGGGTTGTAAAACTAACCACTCTGCAGCATAATTCTATAATAATTCAGTTACCTCAGGATGCTGGCGTTCAAACGAACTTTCTTCCGGCTGCATGCAAAAACTACACTCTGTGATGAATGACTACTTAACTAGCATGAGTTTTTCTCCTTGATTTTCGCTGTCCCCAAAGGTCCAATTATATTTCATAGAAAACATGAGTAAAAATATTCATTCTTCCGCTCATTCGGTAAAAAATTATGTTTTTTTTCAAGTTTATACTCGAAGGATGGATATAATTCCGTTTTAAAAAAGTTTCTGATTGTGAGACATTTAAATAACGTGAAATAACAGTTCATAAAACGTCATGTTTCTACATTTACCAATGTGGCTTGTTAAGTTAACAATATGGGCCAAATCCAATGCTGAATTTTATGACCCCATACGATCCCCCATTAGTACCATAGAGAAATGTGTGGTTTTCCGTACGCGGAAAATATATGGCTTGTAGTTTAGGAACCCTAAATGCAAGTGTGACGGCAGAGCGTGTTCAAAATTATTCGGGAATAAGAAACATTTTTGAAAACCCTTACCTTGAGTATAAAATTAGAAGACGTAATTGAAGAAGAAGAGTCGAGCACCGGAACACTTCGTTTATTATCCTGAGCAGAGCCAAAGCAGTGGCAGATCGGCTAAGTAAACTGCTTAGAGAATACCGACATAAAAATGTGATCACGGAGAATGAATGGCACCAAATGAGGGCAACTGACACCGCTCTAGCCAAAAATCCATAAAGCAAATATCCCACTTCGGCCAATCGTTGCCCTAAAAGGCAGCCCCACCTACAATTTGGCAAAGTGGATGTACTCAAAACTGAAGTTCCTCCAAGGCAATTCGACTACCTCAGTTCGATCAGCCTCTCAATTCCTCATAGACCTCCGAGGTCGGAGAATTCAATCGGATGAAATCATGGTCTCCTTCGATGTGACGTCGTTATTCACATCTATTGCACCAAACGTGGCCCGCGAAGTCTTACGCAAGAGACTTAAAGAGGCGTACGATGAGACTCAGAATGCCCTCAAAATTGAACACCTCATGAGGCTGTTTGAATTCTGCCAACAAACTTTCTTCACTTTTGCGGGAGAGACCTATAAACAAATCAAGGGAACCCCAATGGGCTCACTGGTCTCCGGTTTGGTGGCAGAACTGGTCCTACAGGAGTTAGAAAAGATTGCCTTCGTCCAACATGAACCGGTGTTTTGGCGCCGTTACGTAGCCGACACGGTCGTCATAGTAAAGAAGGACATGCTGCAACATTTCCACGGCCTGCTCAATGCAGTCTTCCCTGATATAAAATTCACGAGGGAAGAAGAACAGGAACAGCAGTTGCCCTTCCTGGATGTGCTCGTCAGACGAAACCTTAACGGTGAACTTGGAACGACTGTTTATAGGATGGCTACGAACACCACACAGCTTCTGAGTTTTCACAGCAACCATCCGGTGGCTCACAAACGAAGCTGTGTGAAGACGCTCTTCAAACGGATCCAAAGTCATTGTAGCAAACCGGAGGACAGAGCACGTGAGGCCCGTTATCTCCTCGACCAAAATGGCAAAATGGCTATCCGAGGGCATTCATAAGTCGCTGCCTACGCGGTCGCCACCAGAGAACTCGAACATCAACGCCACCGACGATATGGCATTCTCTGCCATACATGAAGGGTGTTTCCGAAGCGACCGAGCGCATTGCTGCGGAGCTAGGTGTTGGAATTGCACACCGCCCCAATGTCACCATGCGCAGCAGGGTCATGAAAATTAAAGACCGGTTAAAACCTGAAGAGCAATCTGGAGTAGTGTATCGCATTCCGTGTCAAAATTGTCCTTGTAATTACACAGGACAGACTGGACGCATGCTCGGATCGCGCATACACGAACATAAGCTGGCTGTACGGCGAGGCGACGCATTATCACAAGTGGCCGCCCACACCTACGAAATGGGGCACGAGTTTGACTTCGCAGCCACCAAAATAGTCGCCCACGCCGTAAAGAAGACAGGCCGAGAATTGATTGAAGCCTGGGCCTCGGATGAGAACTCGGTCAATCGATTTATCGATCTGGCGCCGGCGTACAGAGCCCCGCGTAGTCACCTCCAGTCGTGCGACGTCGGTCGATGATTGGGCCTACGTGCCTTATAACTGTCGCCTATCCTGTTTCTGCCACTACCTCTGACGATGGACTCCTGTACGAGTCTGAAAGCTCAGGATAATAAACGAAGTGTTCCGGTGCTCGTCTCTTCTTCTTCACTTATGCATACACCTGGAACTCGAAATTTCGCCTTCATTCGTGAAGACGTAATTTTCTACCGAATGAGCGGAATAATGAATATTTTTTATTCATGTTTTCCACGAAATATAATTATACTTTTAGGGACATCGAAAATCAATGAAAAAAATGCATGCTACATAAGAAGTCATTTTTTACAGAGTATAGTTTTTATGTGCAGCCGGAAGGAAGTTCGTTTGAACTCCAGCATCATGAGGTAACCGAATTATTATAGAATTATACTGCAGACTGATTAGTTTGACAACCCTGCTTACTTAGTCTTTTCAAAACGAAAACGCATTTCGGAAGTTCGGTTGACATTTCATGCGTTAGCCCACCTACTGTAACTGTCGGACGTCAACTCCAATCAGTGCTCTTCGATGTAGTTGCATCAACGACTTTTGTATCGCTTCGTCAGAAGCCACTTAATAAACTGACAGCCTCATCAGCCGTCCGCTAGTGATTTTATGCCTGCTAGTACCGCCTATGTAAAAATTCGATAAGCGGAAGCCGCGGAGCAAGAAACACACCAGAAATGACATTGAAAACGGCATGGAAACGAATTGTTATGTTTGTATAAGGTCTTCTGGCGAACATAACTGAAATCCGTGGATTCTGTAACCCGATAACGCCCCCCTAGAAGCCTTGACTTACAGCCGCTATTGCCCTAGAGAGCGGAGCTTCCGAGCAGATGCAGAATAAATCGCAAAGCAGATCATTCCTTTCACCGCTGGTGATCTACTACCCGCGGCAAGCACGCGACAGTCGTCTAACCCCCAGAGAGTAGGCCAGTTGCTGCCGGAGAAGCCAGTCATTTGAGCAGAAGACCAAAGGGGGAAGCAGAGTAGAAAAAATAAGTTTGCCTCCCAGCAATAAAGTCAAAGTCGGAATTAATTTGATTGCTAAAAATGGCCACCCAGTTGCCGAATTAAGTATTGTCATAAAATAAGCTTAAATCTTCGGCCTAGGCCGAAGTATTCTTTTGATCTTGCCGCGACCAGAATAGTTGTATCGGCCCTATGTAAGACGCGCAGTGAGCTGATTGAAGCTTGACGTTTTGATAAGAACGCGATAAGTTTTGCTTATCGATCTGTAGCCCGCGTGCACTGCCCGCGAAACCACTTCCAGACTGGCAGAACTAAATTCTGATTGGTTGTTTGTGACATTGTTGATAACGTACCACATACTGCGTTTTTGCCTCCAGCGATGGGCAACGGTTGGAGCCCGAAAAATCGCGAAAACATATATTTAGTCACGGTGTTCTTTACCTGACAAAGCAACTATTTCAATGGCAAAAATGTATGTCTTTTGGCTGTGATAAAGCTTCTCATCCTGTACAGGACAGGCTACTAGAGCGAAAACCACGTAACTATCAGCGTCATATTTTCAGTCCAGCAACTCCACAAAAAGTGCCAGAAAATGTCAGTATCTACATCATCGTGAATTTTAAAAAAGGTGCCTAGTCAGATGTGGTTATGCAGCCCAACCTGAAGTAAACAAACCCCAGCCACCTGTGATACGGGACCGGTGTTAATAGGGGTCGGGGTCAGGTCTTTGTTTGCAAAAGAAATGCTATTGGGAGTGCGTGGTTGTATTTTGGGTGGTTAAGAAATAGCTGTCCTAACCTCTAACCCTAACCCCAACCCCAACAGTATTGTGCCCATCAGGTTGGACTACCTAACCACCTCTTACCAAAAGGCCTTTAAGACCGCGAGCCAAAAGGGTTCCTGGCCATAGAGGGGAAATTCGAAACTTCCAACTGATTCATTTGGTAGTCTGGATTCACTAGATGCAACGCATCACAGACAAGCAGTCGACGTCGAAAGCTTTCTTGGTAACCAGTGGGGTGAAGTGCGACAAAGTACGCACTCAGATCAGCTTAAAGACTGTGTTTTGCAATACTGCTGACTGACTGCTGAAACGACTTTCAGGATGCTAATTTGAATTACACAGCAAATGAAACCAAATCAACATTCGTTGAGCATAGCCCGTCACAAGAACTTCCATGTTCCCGACCCCTATGCTTTGAATTCCACAATACATGGGTTTTTTCTCACAGCGTGATTTTCCTACACTAACATGTTCTAGCCGAGGAATGCATCACATTTTCAACAACTGTCATTTATAATCGTGTTGCAACCGTGGATAAATTTTTTGATCTTGGAATCCCCATGTTAAGGACCATCGATTATGAAGTTAAATTTACCACTCGGATTTCTAGAGCAATTCAGACTTTGGCAGGGTACAAAGCTAATTTTGGAACCGCTTTAGCCTCCTGGCTAACATTAAAATCGAGATATGTGGGGCTGTGACTCTGAAAATGTACCACTACGACGCAGAGACCTGGAAGAGAAAGAAAGAGAAAGCAAATTTACTATTGTGTAAATGACATCCACTGATCAGGCTACGAGACCCGCTAATCCCGTTGCATCTTGAGGCTCAGCCTAGAAACTTTACAGGATATCGTATCGCGATGCAGGGAACTCGACAAAGACACGGGGGGCGAGAATAGCTCTTCCTATCTTGCCGATAGAGGCGAACAGGCGGGTCTTCGGAAGCAGTTCAGAAAAAGAATAAGCGATCCCTGGAACAAGAAATATATTGGCCTGAAGTTTCACTTTCTTACTCGAATCCATCATTAGAGACGCGCATTGAGACGCACTAGAGTAGAACGGAAGACAAGGTTGCTAAATTCCAATGTCTTCAAGGGTTTCTGAGAGCAAATGGCTATACGCGCAAATTTATCAACCACTGCGTACGTAGATGAAACCAGAAACAAAACCCAACCGGGAGCGCTTCTGTACGAGAGGAATGTCTCGGAAGTCTTCAGCCGCCTTTTCACTCCACTTGGAGTCGGGGTTAAACACAGGCCGAAAGCAATTATCGGGCGCCAAGTAGGAGACAAAAGGACCCGCTGCACGGCAGGAAACGCCTGGAGTCGTTTACCGGATCTGATGCAGTTGTTGACAAATCGACTACGTCGGAAAAGTGGGAGGTTACGCTGGACGCGCATGACTGAGCACACTGCAACGGTAAAGAGGAAAGATGTCAGCTCTCAGGCGGCAGCTGATTCCACGGAACCGAGACATATTTTTAAGTTTCAAGAGGCCGAAATCCTCGTAAGAGCTGAAGATCGCGTGAGCCGCGAGCTGCTAGAATCATGGCCCTCAGAGCCGCGATATAGCAACCAGCGCAATGAACTCCTGGCACCATATATAGTGCAGGGGAAACAGTCACTTGATCAGGGCGCGGGCGCTTAAATATCCTAGTGACATCGAACCAGATGGCCGAGTAATCATCACGTCAACATCCAACACAGATGATGAAATTTCGGCAATCTGACTGACAAGCCATCATCGCCTTAATTATGACCCCCAGCGGTGATTACGAGAGCTGTTCATTACATTACGCATGTGAACCCACGGCAGCTACGTCCCATAAATACTGCAGTCTTTGGGCCTCCGCTGCCTTTATCTGCAACCGTCTCTGATGGTCGGTTCGAGTGGAAATCCGAAACGTCATGTCCATAAACTTCTTGTTTCAGTGATCGCTTCTTCTTCTTCTTCTTCTTCTTCTTCTTCTTCTTCATCATCATCATCATCATCATCTTCTTCTTCTTCTTCACTTCTGTCTTATTAGCTGCTGTCTGCCTAAGTTTAAACAATCGGAGATTTGTTACTTTTTAATTCCCTCAGAAATTAACTACGAACTTGCAGCAGATCAGTTTATTCAAGGTCTATAGGTTAAGGCCGAGATTTTTATTTATGCATATTTGGGCCGAAGTCCAACAGCCATCCATACTGCGCTGTTACCCGAGACAGCACAGTCAAATAATGCACCGACCTGATTGGTTACTTATAAATCCGGCGCCTGGCGTCAAGAGCCTCAAGATCCTGGTTTAGTTGAAAGCCTTTCCTGAAACGTCTACGTGATAGCCTTTATAAGCAGATAGGGCTTGATATGAAACAGTTTCTTTTTATGCAACAAAAGTCTGCAAATTACGCCTCGTCGGCTTCCTGATTTAACTCATTTGCTGGCTTCATCGTTATCATGTCCGACATCATTGTGATCAAACTCGCCGCATTTTCAAATATCAACCTTCTACAGTTATCCTCTGTAATCACCCTTTTCTTGTTCGTTCTCCTCTCCACTGCTCTACTCCTCCCCTTTCTCCTCCTCCTCCTCCTCCTCCTCCTCCTCCTCCTCCTCCTCCTCTTCTCCTCCGCCCGCATCTTGGCCTCCCCACCTCCTCCCCCTCCTCCTTCCCCTCCACACTTCATCCTCTCCGCATTTATTTATACGTCATAATTGTCAGCCAGTGCATGCCTGCCTTTTAATTAGAAAATTTCGGTCTTAGCATGAGAAATGAGCGCATTGCTGCCCAATGGACAAAGGTCGCCTCAAAAAGGAATTTGCAAATGACATCTTTTGTTTCGGCTGGAATAGACGTTCGCAAAACTCCTTGAAATAAATTCGCTCATCCTTTTATAACCTCTCCCACTTTCAAATTCAGAGGAGAGCTTAGCGAAAAGGTGTACATTTTCAGTAATTTCTCATGAGGATAAAGAAACACAGACGATGGTCACAAAGCGCGCCAGAGGACTTTAGCTACTAAGTTGCTCCAGGATTCCAGTCAGTACGTGCGTAATTTTCTGTCATTGTTACTTGATGGGACTCTACTTGAAGTAATAGATCCTGTTCATCAATTTCCCCGTCGCCAACGGAGTGCCGGTCAGGCAGAGTTGGGTATTCAATTTCAGAACCTGGGAAAACAATTACTAGTCCTTCGATCATACTTCACTTCCAGTGTTCACTGCAGTAAAATAATACCCTTAAACAAAGACATGGTTTATAACCGCATTGGGAAGACTAAAGATAACTACCACCGTTGCCATGCCTGTAATATGTAAGTCCATTTCCAAATCCTAAAGCGTTTACGTAAAATTCAGTGGGTCCTACTTATATGGCCCCCGAAACCGGACATGACAATAGGAGCCGCCTGCTATACGGATGGTTGTGAGCCAATTTCCAGTGAAATTAGGATTAGGTTAAGGATTTAATTCACGGGTAGATTTAAGGTTAACAGACCGGTAAGTCTGAATGAAGTTCAGGGTTGAAGTAAGGGTTAGTTTTGCCTACAGAGTTAGGGTTTAAGGTTCAGGGCCAGGAATAGGGCAACGGTTTAGTTTTATATTAGGGTTATCGTTGGGATTAAAACGAGAATATTTTGCTCCTTCCGAAATTATGCGCAAGTCCACCTTTTTGATTTTAGCAAGGTGTTCTTATCAGCAAGTTCTATTTAGACGTCCACATACAGAAGTTGGGCTAACTCATGAAATGTCAAACGAAATTCCAAAATGCACTTTGGTTTCGAGAAGATTAATCAAGTGGCGTTGTAAAACTCGTCAGCCTGAAATATAATTTTATAATATTTCAGCTACCTCAGGATGCAGACTTTCGAATGAACTTCCTTCCGGCGGCATGCAAAAACTACACTATGTAGAAAATGACTGCATAAATAGCATGCATTTTATCATTAATTTCGATGCCCTTATATATTCAATTTGACTTCATGGAAGCCATTCATAAAAATATTTATTCTTTTGCTCATTCAGTGGAAAATTACGCCTTCTCGCAATCTGATACTCGAAGAACGGGTACAATTAGGTTTTCAAAAGGCTTTCCAATTCCCGAATAATTTTCAACCCGCTCTACCGTTTACTTGGATTCAGGGTTTCCAAACTACGAGCCATATATTTTCTGCATACGGAAAACCACACATTTCTCTACGGTTATAAAGGGGGACCATATAGGGTTCACAAAATGTAACAGTGGATTTGATTCATAGTGTTAACTTTACAAGCCACATTGGTAAGCGCAGAAACATGACGATTTATGAACGGCCATTTCACGTATTTAAAAGTCCCACAGCTAGAAACGTTTTTAAAACCGAATTTTGTCCCTCATTCGAGTATAAAATTAGAAGAAGACGTAGGTTTCTACCGAATGAGCAAAAGAATGAATATTTTTATGCATGTTTTCCATGAATCCTAATTGAATTTTTAAGGGCATTAAAAATCGACGAGAAAAATTCATGCTACATAAGTAGTCGTTTTTTACAGACTGTAGTTTTTCCATGCAGCCGGAAGGCAGTTAATTTGATAGCCGGAATCCTGAGGTAACTGAAATATTATAGAATAATGTTGCAGGCTGACTAGTTTAACATCCCTATTTTATCAACCTTTTCGAAACGAAAACACATTTCGGAATTTCGGTTGACATTAGCCCACCTAATGCAAGTCCGTCCTACCGAAAACTCGAACATAACCGTAGGCTCATAACCTTAACCCATAATCTTAATCCATGCCCCTAGTTCAAAAATCCTAACCCTAAAACAGAAAACGCATTTCTAGTCACAACCGGAAATCCAGGCCAGACAACCGTAGAGCTAAGAGTAGCCAAGATCCTAACATCAACCATAAACTTCAGCCCGGTACAGACAACTTTAATGTCTACACGGCTATTCAAGGACTGGCTAGGTGAAGGGAAAAGTCGATCCATATCAAATTCAATTCTCGCAGACTTAATCGACACGAACCACCAAGTCCTCGCCAATGAAGCCTTTGAAGTTATCTGCTGGGCGCCAAGAAACTTCTCTAAAGGCCTACGCCGACGAGTGTTAGCAACAACCGACGCAGTGACCAATCGATTAGCTAATTCAGCAATCTGTTGTCAGAAGACGTTAACACAGACACTCTGTCTTCCTTGGCTGACTCCATGTGGTGATCGCACGCCGCCCCGAAACACTGAAAACAATTTGCTAAAATTCATATTGACCCAACTGTGAAAAACTCGGCGCCTCGGTGGGATTCGAACCCACGCAGTAAGGGGGAAGGCTTTAGTACAGCCAACGCTCTAACCACCTGAGCTACGAGGCCCCGCCGGACGACGCGAGTTTTATCACACTTGGGTCAACTTACCCACCCAACCTACTGCAACGTCTGGAATCCACCAAATCTGATACAGTAAGTTGACTGCCCAAGCAGGATTTCCTAAGCAATCAATGAATTACGTGAGCCTAGTAGTCATCTGGTGGATTCTAGGTGAATTACTAAGGAAACCCTGCTTGGGCAGTCAACTTACTGTATCAGATTTGGTGGATTCCAGACGTTGCAGTAGGTTGGGTGGGTAATTTGACCCAAGTGTGATAAAACTCGCGTCGTCCGGCGGGGCCTCGTAGCTCAGGTGGTTAAAGCGTTGGCTGTACTAAAGCCTTTACTTCTTACTGCGTGCGTTCGAATCCCACCGAGGCGCCGAGTTTTTCACAGTTGGGTCAATATGAATTATTCAAAATCTGCCAAAATATCAATGAATTTGCTAAAAGAGATACGATTGCTGGAACAAGAGCTTTAACAGCCTGACTTTTCGGATTCCCACTCGAATCCATCATCAAAGACAGAGTCAGATAAGGGCCGAATGACGAAATCCGACCGTCAGCAACTCGACTGCTTGCGGTGAGCGTGGGAATCGATAATCTTGATAGGCAAACAAGGGCATAGCAACTGCACGGCAACTGCATGCTTCAGCACCTGGCCAGTTGAACCGTGATGCACTCGGGAGCTGCGATAGGCACGTAGCGGCCTAGCAACTACATCCTATAAGTACCGCAACACCTAGGCAATTTACCACCCTTATCAGACTCTGTCTCTGATGATGGATCCGAGTGAGAATCCGAAACGTCAGGCTAATAAAGCTCTTGTTCCAGCGATCGTGTCTCCTTCTTCGAGAATCAGGACGGCCGAAGGCGGATGTGGACACGGGGATCGTGTCAAACACGGCCTGATCTGCGCTGAATGCGCCGGGTTCTTGCAGAAAGTGGGAGCTTCTTGATTCCGGCCCCAATGGGAGAGCCGCAGAGGCTGCACTCGGAAGAATCCATTGAACCTGATTTCCACTCTTGAGAAAGAGCGAGTTATTTAGTCAGTTGTCAATTTGTAAAGCTCCTACCTTCAGGGCGTTTTGATGCATTCAAGCACATCTCACTTATTGTGGTGAGGAATGCGCTGCTGTACCGTGAGGATTAGTTACTCAGTGTCGACCTCATTGTCGTCCTTCTTCCATGCATCAATCGACTGTTCAATCCCGTTATCAAACGGGTGACGAGATTGAACGCAGTGCTGACGCGGAGTGTGGGCTGATCTCCATGGCGTACCGCCCTACTCACGTATGGCAACAGGTGTGGACTTGCGCCGATTATGCGCAGCCTGGTTGGCGCGCGCCGTGAGTCAGGCTGACCCCAGTTTTGGTCCAGCGCATCCGAAGCGCAGGGCGTCATGGGGACCATGACGTAGCAATATTACGACATAATAGCTGCTGACCGTCATCATATACGGCTTCATCTAATATCGTACAGCACAGTTCAGAATTCTCCAGCCAGTGTGTTGGACGATTTCGGGAGACATTGATTCTTGAATCGATGTACTAACGGAAATCATACCCCTCCCTTAACATATAATGGTGGCATTTGCACAGGTGTTGCAGTATTTGTAGGATGTAGCGGATAGGCCGCTACATGTCTATCACAGTTGGCAACTCCAGAGCGCATTTCGGCTCTACGGCCTGGTGTTGAAGTATGCAGCTACACTTGTTGATTAATTGTGGACAGGAAGGCCATGATTCGGGCAATTTACGGCTCGCGCGGCTGCCCCCTCTAGCAAGAATTTATACCTCGTCAAATTGGAATGTGCGGTTAGGTCCCGTCGTATAAGCCGCGACTTGGAAGCCAGCGACTTCCCTCTTCATTGACGCCGCGTGATGGGTCATCCGCGTTATCAATAGTCTTAGGGTTACTCCGACATAATTGTTTTTCTCAAACTACCCGAGATCGCACAAAAGACTCCAGATGTCTCTTGCCGTGGAAATGGATATTCCAGCCTCATGATCTGGCGTCTTATGGTTGCCTCCGGCTCCCAAGTCGTGGTTTAGTCGATGGCACCCAGCTACACATTCAAGTTTGACGAAACAGAAATTCTTGCTAGAGGTGACAATCGCGTGGGTCACGAACTGCTCGAGTCATAGTTTTCCGGTCCTCAATCAATGAACAAACACAATGACCTCCCTACCCCATATTCGGCGTTGCTGACGAGTGACAACAGCAGTGGGGTTGCGGATAAATCCAGCCTTGGACACCTCCACACGGAACAACGATATAAATGTTGACGCGTTGCTGCTCTCCAGCAGTCTCTGATGATGAACTCCAGCTGGAGTTCGAAAGCTAAGGTCAATAAATCTACTGTCCCAGTGATCGT